TATTTATTTTTATGTTTTAGTAATACTATGAACATTCTACAATTACTTAAAAATACAATACAAGATACTTTAATATTACTAAAAATTACCAATATAATTTCAATAACTTTACTAAATATCATTTTAAATTTTATACTCAATATACCAAATTCTAAATTTAAATATATATTATATATCATTACTAGAACCTTTACTTCTACTACTTATGAAAATATCAAAGCACTTATTAATAAACAAACTAATGCCTTTTTACTCCAGCTTTTAAACAATCTATTAAACTAGTTTTATCAAGATCTCTGGTCTACTCACAATATATACCAATATCAATAAGAAATATCTTGTAACATTATATCAAAATCTAAATATACTAAAATTTACTTACCAATATTACCAAATTCTCTAAACAATACAACAATCTCTTCTCAAATTATAAATACTAACTCTTTTATTATCAAATGGCTCATACAAGGTTATTTACTAACTACTTGTATTTAATAATATTCAGACAATTACTTGAAGATTACTTTTAACTTATCCTAGCTAGAAACTAATTTGAAATAAGCTATAGCATTTATAGGAAATAGAGAGTGTAATGTCATATTGAGTACCAACTTGTAGCACAAATATAGTTTAAAAATTTTTAATTTTAGAACTTATAATTCTATATATAAAAAGTTTCTACTTGAATATTATATTAATAAAAAAAATAATAATAATAATTTTAGTTAAGTTTTTTTAAAAATTTTTTTAAATTTTATATTTAATTTTAAAATTAAATTTACAAATTTTATTGTTTTATATATAAAGTTTTTAATTATAAATTTTAAAATTTAAAAAAAATAAATCCCAATTTGTTCAACTTGATGAAACTTATATATTATAAAATATAAACTTAAAATTTTTTTAAAAAAATAAAAAGAATATTGACTTTTATTATTATATAAATTTTAATTTTTTATATATTTTATTATAAAATTAATTATTAGTTATTATATTTAATGGTTACTGTACAAAAATAATTTTATATAAATACTATAGCTAAGGCCAATACTTACAGTTAGAACTAATTATTAAACTGCTAACTATATAACTAACTTAAGTACAAATAAAAAAAAACTACATTCAAAAATAAAGCTTAAACATATTTATTTGTAATCTAAATCTACTAAAGTAGTTAAATCTTATCTAGATTTAAATAGTTAAAATATAATTACAAGAAATATTATATTTAATTTAAAAAATAGTTCATATACTAATTTTTCTAATAGCATAACTAATAGGTAGGCATGTATTAGAGTTTAAGTGTGCTTGATTAGGTAGTCTGTATAAACATAAATATGTATATATTTAATGATTGTATTTAGTTTGTTTATTATAATTGTATTATGTTAAATATTTAAAGAAAGAAGGTTTAAGATCTTGTTGTTTTTATTAATTTGAGAAGTTTATACAATATAAATTCTAAAGTAGTTTATAGCATAACTTATTGATTTCAAAAAGTACTTTAATAATAGTTTGTAATACTGATTTGTAAAAAATATTAAGATTTTGAATAATTTGAATTAAAGATTTAAGTATAAGTTCTTTAAATATAATATCAAGATAGAATAAGTTTTTATTAAATAGTTTATAATGAAAAGTTTTATAGTTTTAAATTTTTTGAATAAATTCTTCTTTTAAAATTTAGAAAGGTTCAGGTTGTTTTAACTAATATATTTGAAAATAATATTTTGTATAATGTTAGAGAGTAATATAGGATTAAAGCATATTTACTAATGTGTTGAAATATCAGATAGGTTGCAGTAAAAGCAGTTTGTAGTATAACATGTATATAGAAATGTTTTGTAACAAAGAAAATGCATGTGTAGTTTATTTAGCAAAATTTTGATTTTAAAAAATTTGATATAATTAAGTTTAAAGTTGGTTATATTGTGTATAAGTTAAAATGTAGTAGTTTTTAGCTTAGTCTATAATAAAATACTAATAAATTTAATTATATTTAAATTAAGAATTAAAATATAATATATGCACATATATACAGTACATATATAAAATTAAAAAATATATAAATCCATAAACAGCAGTAAAAGTAATAGAAAAACAGATCTAAAAACTAATATTTTTTGGCAAATTAATAGTAAATATTATAGTGCATACAATTTATATATAACTCAGATTAAAATTATTAAAAAATTTATTATTTTTACTATTTAAATTGTTTTTGCTTTGTTTAAAATATTTATATTACTTAGTTATTATTAAAGTTGTTATTATAACTAGTATAAAAAATTAATTTAAAAAATTTTTAATTTTTAAAATTGTCAGTATGTTGGTATAATTGGTATTTATTATAATTGTTAGTATAACTAATAAAATTTTAAAATATTAGATTTTTTTAAAAATAAATATTAATATAACTAACTGTTAGTTAATCTAGCTATTAGTATAATCAGAGTAATGTTTAAACCAACTAGGCTACTAGAATTTATTAAAAAAAGAATATAAAATTTATTAAAGATCTAGTTATAGGTTTATTAAACTATCTAAATTGCTAATTTAAAAAGTTTTATTTGTTTAAAATAAGAGAAATTAGTAGAAGATAATGTTAAAAATATTAAAAAGATAGATATTAGGATTTTAGTAAATTTATACTAGTAAAAATAATATAAGATAGTATTTTAGCAAGTAATATCTATAACTGCAAATAATAGTCTAGTTATAACATATTAGATAATATTAAATTAGTTATATATAAAATATAAAAACTTTTAATAAGTTTTTTGTTAAAAATAAAATAATCTAAAAATATTAATATATTAAATATTTGAATAAGCATAATTTTAAAAGTGTTAAATCTATTATTGGCTTGCAAATATGTATTGTATTAAGTATAGATTCTGTATAGTAATATATAAAATATTATTTAAATTAGACAAAAAAGTGTATATATAACTATTTATAACCTTTTATATAAAAAAGCTTCAAAAGATAACTTAAATAAAATATTAATTCTTAAAAGCAGAGTTTTAAATTAAAAAAAGTAATACATTTATGCCTAATACAAAACTTATATAACCTTTATTTTAATATTATACATATAATATATATTAGAAGCTTCAATATAATAATTGAAAAAGAAACTTAGCAGAATTATTGCTTTTACAATAATATTTAAATTGCTTATATTACAAAACTAAAATTACCAATAATATTAATCTTTACTTTTATAACAATAACTTATTTATTTACTTCTGAACTAATTTAAAAAGCTTAAAAAAATATTATAATTATAATTTAAAACTATTTTAAAATTTACATATATAATTGCCAAATTTATCTTAATAAGGCAATTGTTCTTTAAAAATAAAATTAAGCTTTACATTAAAGTTTGAAACCAGTTTTAAAATTTTGAGTTTATTATATTAAAATTTAAGTTTATCATATACCGAAATTTGAGTTTATTATATAAATTATTAATGATTGATATAATAAACTTGAATTTTGATATAATAAACTTAAATTTTTATATACTAAACTTGAATTTTAAAACTGGGTTTAATCTTTACTTCATATTATAACTATTTATCTCTTTATTATTAATATGCAAAAATATAACAAAATATAAAACATTATTATTATATATATTCAACAAGTTTATAAATTTAAACTTTACCTAATTATACTAGAAAACTTTAATATATATAACAACATATATAACTTATTTAAATTTTAACTTAACAATTACTTACACTGCTCTAATATATTTGATTTTATTGCTTATATTAATGACAAACATTACATATAATTAAATAATATTAGTCAAAATTGTATTAACTACTTTGAACTAACTCATTTAATATTCAAATCTTTTTATCATATAAACTTGATGATAGTAACATATTAATATTTAGTAATTATTCATTCTTATATTCATCTTAAACTTTACTAAAACATATCATAAAACTTTATATTACTATGCTATACTATTATACACAAGAAAAGTATACGTAATATTAAAGGTTACATCATTTTTTATAACACAGGCTTTTAAATAACGTGCATTTAAATAACCATAAGAAAAATAGCATTTATAGGGGTCAAACATACAGTCAATCCTTCTAAATGCAACACAGCACCTTGCTAAATGTAGCCTTAAGCTCTGCCCAAATATTGTTCTCTAAATACAGTTTTTCTTATTGTTCTCTAAATGCATATTGTCAAAGTAGGTTTATGAGTTGCATTGAGAAGGTCTGGCTGTATTTGACCAAGGTTTGAGAATGCATTTAGAGATGCTGTATTTGGGATTGCATTTAAGGGTCTGATTACAGATATACTTCACACGAGATAACCTTAACATATACACGTAACTCTGATTATATCGACACTCCCCAAAAACAAAGAAATTATCCGATATGTCCAGATGCCAGTTTAACCAGAGGCATTTTCAGATGAAGTATATTGGTTCAAAAATTTTAAAAGCGTCGTTATATGCAGTTATCAATATAACCAGAATGACTTGTATAGAATGCACCACGGAAATATCCTTACAAGCAATAAGTATTTTATATGAGAGGTTTGTTTAATTCGCGAAATACAGTGCTTTAATAATTTATAGGTTATTACAATTAATACCTGTTGGTAGTTAACAAACTTTAGACGCTTGAGGAGAATTACAGTCGCTACTCATACGATAATATCAACACAAATTGTAGCATTTCTGAATATTGCTACAGTCATTGAATAGATTGATTTTTCACACGAAACTTCAGGTAAGATAAATCTAAACATTATTTAAAATCCAATTACTTTCTATATATGTTCAAAGCATTATTTATATCCAGAAACTCAAACTCTCATTTCAATAATGCTAATTTTAATTAGTGCGGTACTGTTCGAACATTTTATTTATAATAATAGAATAAAAACTTGAATTTACTAATATAAAATGATAAATGGTATCGGCTTATTAAAAGGTTCCATATACAGAAATAGATCTTATATTAATCTTCAATTCCTTTCATCTTTTTATAATCTTGAATACTAACTGTTTCACCAGTTTTTCTGGAATGTTCCGCCGCAAACACACATAAATGTGAATCTAAATTCATTTGGTAAAACAAATATATTAGAATCTAGTTCGTTATACAAATATAATAGATCCACTAGTTCTATGAATAAAGATAAGTAGAAGCCTGATATTATACAATCTTAACAAATTAAGATTATTAATTTTTCTAGTTCATAAAAATTCTAATAGTTCAACAATGACCAAAGTTTTTTTACAAAAAGTTGTATATTTGAACACTTTGAAATATTTTAGTATATCAACTATTAGAATTTTAAATTATCTGAATTTTAATTATCAAGCATTAAACTATTGAACTTATATTTCAGATATTAGGCTTTTACATTACTTAAAATTTGTGAATTATATATATATAACTTACGTAAAGCTTGTTGAATGCCAGTTTTTATATACGGATTATCATTCGAATTTTTTGTATCCTTTGAAGTGTCAAATGATTCATTAACAGAGTAAATAAATGCTCGCATTAGAGCCATGTCACCACCAGCTATAAATATTATAAAATTTTATTAAATAAATTTATGAAAAGAATTTTAATTAAGCCAATAATAATCACCATGACCACTTAGATCTTCAACACCAAGAATGTTAGTTGGCACTAATATTTCCTTCTGCCTTGTTAAAAAATTAAAATATGTTATACTATTATAGCCATCACATTCTATTTGTCCTAATGTCCCGAATATTCTTAAATAATATAATTTAAATATTATATAATTTAAAAGAGCGTAATATGAATATGATTATATATAAGTAAACCGTCATACAGGTTTTTTTAAAAAAATACGAATATATAAATCTCTTACTTGGTCTTATAGTATTTACAAATTAGGGTTTAAAAAAATTAAACTCATAATTTATTACTGTAATTTAAAGATAATATACACTTAATTACCTTTCTTTCAGTAATAGCCTCAGTATATGCTATCATAGTGATATTTGCCGTTGATCCATTTTTGAATTCCAGGTTAACAACCTTCAATTATTATAAACTTAAAATTAATTTATAAAATAAATTACAAGCAATATTATATTTAAAATTAAATTTTCTTCGATATGTCATACTTGGTTATCTACAACATCATTATCACTTTCGTAAACACATTTTCCATAAGGTCCATTTATTAAATTCTTTTCTAAATTCTCGATATCTAAGTTTATTAAAAATTCTTTATTAAATTTGCCATTTTTTTAGAGAGGGAAAAAATTATAACAATCAAATCATACTAACCAACAATATCTGTAACAACATTGACAGGCCAAGATCGCACCCCTTTATCAAGACCATTTTCTCTATAGATTTTAATGGCAGAATAAGGACATGTTTTTTCGATATTGCATTTAAAGCAGTTGCTAAAAAAAAAAAAAAAAAAGAACAAAGATTATACGTGAAAAATTACTTCGATAACATCATATTCATCTATTAAAAACCACTTCGATAATATCATATATATATATTTAATATTAAATAAGTTATTTACATAGCGTCACCTGCTTCTTTTGGTTTATTTTCTGAATTAAAATGCATTAAACTACCGAATGAGCTAACTTTCTATATATTAAATAATATTTATTGAAACATTATATAATAGTTTAATACAAAACATGTAAATATTCATTATACGTACTGTGCATGGTGAATTATTCCAATAAGACATCAAATCTTAAAATCAAACATTATGTAAAAAATTAATATTATTAAGGATATGGTTATTATAAACGTTAAACACTAACATACCGATGTCGTGACAACACTATAACAATAATAATAAGATTTTTCTTAATTAATGACTATTTAAATAATATATTTTATAAAAAGTGTATATTAACCTTTGTCATTAAAGAAAAACTAGATCCAGCCTCATTCCTCCAATTACCCCTTACATATGAATGCGCAAAATGCCAGAATCCAACATGCTCGGCATGTTGAATATTTACAATATTTCCGAGATAACCGGCATCGATTATCTCCTTAACCAAAATATTGTGTGGTGTATATCTTAAAACATGTCCTAATATTGATTTAATTATGATTTGGTTTCAATCTTGGTTAAAAACACTTTTAAAATAACATAATAACTATTATCGTACAAACTCTTATGATCATAGATTTTTTCTTGTTATTTTTTTGTGCGTTGTCACATAAGCACAACAATGATCATAATTGCACGATAACATCGATATTGGATCATGCGATGATATTAATCGTTGCATGATCAATATATTATACTTAACATACCCACAGCAAATAAAACCTAAAATTTTTACCAAATTAAATTATTGCAATTATGGTTAGTAAAATCTAATTGTGATCAAGTTCCACACTACGTCACATGATCATACCTCGTTCTTTACAATAGCGTCGGTAATCTTCACACAGCCTTCAATATTAATAGCCATGGGTTTTTCTAACAAAATATGATACTTCTTATCTGCAAATGCAACTAACGGGTCGACATGAAGATTGTCCAACGTCGAAATAATAACCGCATCACTTAGTTTTGGACATTCAATCATCTTTCAAATTTTAAAATAATGTATGCTGTCATTAATAACACTCTTAAAACGAAACATATTATTCAAACCATTTTTGAAAATAAGAGATTCGATAAAGTTCATACATCTTCCCATTTAGTAAAGACGTTTTCTTTAGGAATATTATACAACTAAAAAAAGCAGTAAATCGATAAAAATGTAAATTTTTATAGTTTCAAAGAAAATATTTATCACGAAAATTTGATTTTTAATTTAAACAAAACCTCGGCCATTGCATTCCTTCGATGTTCTACAGGTTCGGCAACAGCCACTACTTGGGCCCATTTCGGTTCAATATTCGCAAATTGTGCATACAATGACCCTCTATAATCGAGATATGCAAACGCAGAAAAAAAAACAATGTTAGTAAATAGATGAACTAACAATGTTATAGTTGAATCATACCTTTGTCCAGCACCAACAATAGAGATGGTGATAGGCCTAGATGGTGGTGGTGGTGAAGGCAAATTAGCGTGCGTCGATTTTAACTTTTCAGCAATAGAGAATGGACCTTCTACTTCTTCTGTGAAAGGATATATCCAAGACATTTTAGGATTGTTTATGAAAATCGCTTGTTTAAAACTTTTCAATAATCAGATATTTAATGATCAGGAAGACTAAGAGTGGTGCGAATCGTTCTTTTATTAATTTTTTGATTGAGATTAGCGGAATTTTCATCATACACATCTCCGGTCAAATGTGATAATGCCATGAAACCAATATTTTGCTAAGTTACTAAGAGAATGGTATTACCATAAAGGGATGTACAAAGGTTGATAATCAACCAACTAAATTTCATTATATTTTTCTCAAATACGTTTCCAAGGAAAATTCTATTTTAACCCGGAGTCCTACCTGAAGAAGTATAGTCGGGAGTACCAAAGAAGTTACGTATGACAACCCTTTATTATCATACTCATGTGCATGATATCTATCAATATGCTTAAGTAATTCAGTATAATAAATATAATGATGTAATAATAAATAAGGTAGCTGCGCGACGCAGTCACGAACGAAAGCAAATACAGTAGTTAACAAATAGTCATACCAGGAACGGAGTTTGTACAACGTACAACGTAGTGTATGGTTTAGCGTTGTTTACAAAATCTTGGATCTGATTGGATGGTCCATCCTTGTGGCTTTGTGTAGCATCCCGAACAATGTTAAAAAAGGAAACGATATGTGCAACCGGTTTACCAAGAACGGAGTTTGTACA